GCTGCAGTCTCCCGGCACACCAGAAGGTGAGAGGCTCCCCCATCCCCGGCAGTCTGGGTGCCCCTCATGCTCCCTGGGTTCGTGGCCCTGGAGCTACTGGGGTCCGCCGGAGAACAGGCTCGCGTCCCCCCCCCTGCCCCGGGGGCGGCCCCTTCGCTTTCTCTTCTCGGGCCTCGCTTCCCCTCCCTGGGCAGCTCACTTTGCTCCGGGGAACTGCAGTTCTCTCCCCGCTCCCGTGGTTCTCACACCCGTGCCACCACCCTGCCCCAAGTCCCTGTACCGTCATCGGGTGCCACCTCCTTCACTACTGGTCCTTTTCCTTTCTACCTCTCTTGGTCCCCTGGCATAGCTTCTCCTTTTCTCAGTCGGCCCCATCCCAGCATCCCAGTATTGGTTTGCTTGGTCGTCTTACCAGCAGGATGGAGGCAGTCCTGACCTGCTGGGGATTTGCAGACCGGCTCTCCGTTGTGTCTGCCCACACACACACACCCCGTCCCAGCCTGTGCTGAGGATTTGTCTCTGCCCGATGTATGTGGTTCCTGCTGTCAGGGTTGTAACGCTGCCCTATTCCTCACAGGTCGCCTTGCCAGCTCTGTCCCCCACGATGCAGATGGGCACCATTGCGCGATGGGAAAAGAAGGAGGGCGATAAGATCGGTGAAGGGGAGCTCATAGCAGAGGTATCCTGGGGGTACTGTCTGTGCTGCATTTCTAATGAGCTTCATGTGCATCCTGGGTTCTGTCCCTGATTGTCTTCACTTGAACACAAATCTTGGGTTCAAGATCACAGATCCCAACAGCATCTGTTGGGAACAAGTCGCTAACAGCCTTTCAAAGCTGGCTGCTGCTTTTCCTCTTTCTGAGCAGGAGCAGCACTTAACCTGTTTGAGAGCATACTTGTGTGGAGCTGGTGCCACAGGGTGATTTCTCTAGAACTGTGGTGTGTGGTGACCCTACACTATCAGACTGGAAGGCTCTGAGCTCACTGGTCTTCTCTGTTGCCATAATGATATCCTTTTCTCTCTCAAAGGTGGAGACCGACAAAGCAACAGTTGGCTTTGAGAGCCTGGAGGAATGCTACTTGGCCAAGATCCTGGTGCCAGAGGGAACAAGAGATGTTCCTATTGGGGCCATAATATGTATCACAGTAGAAAAGTATGTATTTTGCTAACCCTTGAGTTGAATTTTCTCTCTTGGGGCTTCTTGGGTGTCTTGTGTTAAAGGCTTAGAGACAGTCATCTGACTGGTTTTGTGGTTCTGTGTTTTCTTCTAGGCCTGAATATGTTGATGCCTTTAAAAATTACACTCTAGATTCTGCAGCGTCTGCCCCCCCTGCAGCCTCAGTGCCTCCCCCTCAAGCTGCAGCTCCCTCGCCACCAACTCCACTTTCTCCTCAGGCTCCTGGCAGCTCTTACCCTCCTCATATGCAGGTAAGAGAGCATTGCTGATGATTTAAGGCTTGTTGTACTCTTTTTCTGTCTTTGGCATTGCTAGCTGTAGGGCATTTTGTCATAAATACTATCGGGAGTGGGAAGTTATTAGCTGTAATTGCAGGAGTGTGTGCCACTTGAATTGTTGTGTGCTGAAAGCAGGTGTTTGGGAAGGTCCCAGAAAGCTTTTTTCAGAAAATTATTTTAGCATCCCAGCTGCTAGTAGAGGAGAGACTTGTGTCTCCAGGATTGTTATGCAGTCTAGAAAAACATGCTACATTT